TTGATGGGAGATCGAGCTTAGTGGAGTGCGTTGGGAACATAAATTTTGCGAAGTACGTCGAAATATTGGAGGAAGGACTCTTGCTACTTTATTCCTCGGGTTTCGTGGACAAGAACACAACGTTGTTCCAGGAAGATGGAGCACCGTCTCACACTGCTAGAAACACCCAAAAGTGGCAGGAAGAAAATGGTATCCAGAAGTTGCCCTGGCCGAGCCAATCTCTTGACGTGAACCCCATTGAAAACCTGTGGGCCATACTCGGCAAGTCAAGAAACAACAAAAAAAACCAACTTTTCAAGTTTTGAAGCAAGAGTGGGCGAAAATCCCACAATCTAAAACTGACGAGATGATTCTCACGATGCCCCAAAGGATCAACGAACTCCACGAAGCGAAAGGAAGATCTACTAGATATTAATTAAATTATAAATATATCATTTCATGTGAATACGACTGAAAATGTTCATTTTTTCTGAAAAGGTGGTGTCTATTTACTTGTGACCATGCTGTGTATATATCTTTTTCATATAACTTTCTTCTATAATTGATTCGTAAAGCTTAACAGTATGCATTTTCGCTTCCTATCTGCAGTAGTAGAACTAGTTTAATTCAATGCATTTTCGTTTCCTATGTGCAGTAGTAGAACTAGTTTAATTCAATGCATTTTCGTTTCCTATCTGCAGTTGTAGAACTAGTTTAATGCAATGCATTTTCGTTTCCTATTTGCAGTAGTAAAACTGGTTTAATGCAATGCATTTTCGTTTCCGATCTGCAGTAGTAGAAATAGTTTAATGCAATGCATTTTCGTTTCCTATCTACAGTACTAGAATTAGTTTAATGCAATGCATTTTCGTTTCCTATCTGCAGTAGTAGAACTAGTTTAATGCAATGCATTTTCGTTTCCTATCTACAGTAGAAGAACTAGTTTAATGCAATGCATTTTCGTTTCCTATCTGCAGTAGTAAAACTGGTTTAATGCAATGCATTTTCGTTTCTTATCTACAGTAGTAGAACTAGTTTAATGCAATCCATTTTCGTTTCATATCTGCAGTAGTAGAACTAGTTTAATGCAATCCATTTTCGTTTCATATCTGCAGTAGTAGAACTAGTTTAATGCATTCCCCTCTTCTCTCAATAACACACAGTTTTCTCCAGTATATTTATAGTTAATAAATGTAAGTATTATGTTTGCGCAATGTTATAATGATATACTAACTTTTCTATTAATTTTATCCAAATTTATTAAAAATAAAACCACTTGAGCTTTTATAAATGTGTGTAACCATAGTTATAACACCAATTTGCCTCACTTCTTAAAGGCTTCGTATTTAACAGCGTTCTTTATAACTGTATGTAAACTGTAAAGTTAAAAATATAAAACTATTGGTCTACTCACCATATAGCTGCATAATACTTGACATAAGATTGTATTTTTTTATCATAACGTTGTGCACTATTCACCTTCAGACTATGTCTTACTCGCCATAAAGCTATATGCTCTTTACAACAATGATGTACATCACTTGCTTATGTACTACAATACTATAAGATTGTTTATTTGTCACCAAAAGGCTGTATTATACTCACCATAGTTTCGTCTGCGTTTGAATTATACTTTAGTCGAGAATTTTCTAAAACTTTTGCAGAAAACTGCTTGTATTGTAGAGTAGCTGGAACCCGCAGAGTCACTACCATAAGAGCCTCGTACATTTTTCGGGCGTTCTAAAATAAGTACCAATAGTCTTCATTTTTAAATCTTGAAGTAATAATGACGTTTCATTACCAACAAAAACACAAATCTAATATCGAGAAATAATGTTTATTCAGTTATAACAACGCTAACCTGTTACCTAAACGTTTATAAGTTTAACAGAAAAACTGAAAGATTTAAATGTCCGTAGAAAATATTTGATAATAAATAAACTACAAAATCTAAAAACGTTGTCTCACACATTGTAAATAACTAACTCGTTGATTGGTTTCACAAATATTTTCATTAGAACAACTCAGTAAATAAAATAATAGATGTTACTGTTTAACATTTTCTAGTGGGTGTGGCAAGTTTGTTTGATCAGGTCAAGCTCGAGACATAATTTTATTTTAGTAATGAATGAAAACCTAAAACAAAATATCAAATCCCAAAACATTCACATATTGTATTGAAAAAAATAGGTAACTTAGCAATAGTTTGTTTGTTTATAATTAAGCACAAAGCTACACAATGGGCTATCTGTGCTCTGCCCACCACGGGTATCGAAACCCGAATTCAAGCATTGTAATTCTGCAGACATACCACTGTGCAATAGTATCAGTGACAAATGGCAAACAAAAACACCTGAAAATTCACTAATGTTAGAAACTTATAGGCTCAGCACATGTTACATATTACAATTTATCCCGGACGAGCCTCCAATTTATTACGTAACATATTATAATTTCGAATAGCCCGAAACTGAGTTAAATGATAATTCAGATTTGGAAATTAATAAATGTCGATATGTATCAAATTCATGATACTTGTCAACAAAATTGATACACACAGTTTTTTTAATACAAGTATATTTTAATATACAAACAATAATACAATTTAAAATAACGTTTATTACAAATAATGATCTATGTACAAAGGTTTTATAAACTTACGAACAATATCTTATCTTATCGAGGGTTCACAGGGAGCAAGCTTAGCTCTGTGTTCTTTGGTCTTCGCCAGCCACACACCGATTTATCAACCGATGACGTTAGGTAATGTTTTCGTAAAAATACTAATGTCTGATGTGAATCCGTTAAAGTTAAATGGTTTGTAATCTTCGAAATCTATAAATGTTCCTTGACAAATATCCGAAGTTCCCGATTAATAAGTGTTATAACAACCACAGTTACAGCTTCCGAGGTTTATAGCACACCAACTATAGCAAACCAATAATATATACTGTCTTTTGGCGTGTCGCGTTGATTATATTTATATGCGTGAGGAGAGTTTCTCGAAATTTCAGCTTATGTAGCAATATAAACGATACACCGTCTGTAGGCGGGAATTTCGCAATACAGATTTAACAGTGTAAGTTATGTACCTTTCTAAATATAAATTTAACTTAAACAAAAATTGATATTAAAATAGATATATGATAGTAAATCTATCACACTGCATAGTGCAGATAACCCAATATCCAGCTTTACATTTAAACAAACATAAAAACACGTTGATGGTATGTTAGTAGTATTGTTTGAGCTATCATGGTGAAAAAAACATGTTTTGAAACCGATAAGGAAACTTATTGAAAGCTCAGGTTTTTTAAAGTATTTACGGTAAAAGGAAAACATGTATTAATGTTATAATCGTGGACAATTAAATAAACTTAATTCCTAAAGCTGGAAAACAATAAACTTTTAAGAAGTTTTAAGAGTGTTCGCAACGCCAGGTTTATGGAAGCTTTTTTTTTACTGAACATGCTAGCATCGGTATTATGATGTATTACTTACTTAGAAATTGGATATGTATTTCTAAGTATTTTGTACTTATGTTCCAAAGAAAAAGCGAACTTTAATGTTTAGTGCCACGTCTGTAGTAAATGTAGTCCTTAGTTTTAAATCAGGTGTATTTTCTAATTTCAAACATAATTTTCAAAATGTAGATTATTTTCATGCTAGAAATGAGAATCTTATCTTTTATTGTGTAATCAGACCAACAGTTCGTTTTTTTTGGGGGGGGGTGTTCCAACATCATAAATTTAAAAGTAAATCAAGACGTATCAAGAAGTATTAGCAGAAAACAATCATAAATCATGTAATAATAAGTTACAATCATTCCTTATCCTGCAAACCATAAAACAGTATTTTTAATCTAATATTAATCCCTTTACTCCTAAAATGTCTTGCTTGTCTTATGTCTAAATAAAATACGTTAAATAAGATTAAGATCATTTGACATCACCTTATTTCTGAAATCTCCAGGTTTGTACCAGGATATTTCACCGTACTTCTCTTTGTTTTCATTTAGTTGGACGGTGAAGAAAGTGTATTCGCCATTGTCCATTCCTAGGTTATAAGCTTCTAGAAGGAGGTTTCGAATAGTTTCCCAACCAGCAACGAAGACAAATACTAAAGAAATACAAGTGTTGAGGGTGAATTAAAAACCGTTCAAAAGAAATTAAATGATCTATAAGAATAATCGATGTGTAAATTATACTATTGCGTTACATATTGGAAAAAATTAAGCTTTATATATTTACTCCCTACTGTGCTGGTAGTTCCATTTATATAACTAAAATCAAATCTAGCCGTTCCTAATCTTGAAATTATGGACAAGATGAAAAACAGCTAATCAACACCACACACCGTCAACTTCTACTAGGCTACTTTTTACCGATTAACAGTGAGATTAACCATCACATTATAACGCATACACGGTTGAAATGGCGATATTCAGTAATTGGATGTGATCCTTCGACCGACAGATTTCGAGTGTAGGGCTTCAACAACCAGGCCAAAATATCGATCCATATTCAATTATTAACCGTAAAAAAAATTCCATAATCAAACTTCCGATTGCTTACTACTAAAACATTTCTATGCCTTATTTCTAATGAAAACTTAATTATTTCCAAAACGATATTTAAGTCTCCAAATATATTTTTCATTTTATGCAATTTGAATATATTATTATTTAAGACTTGTATATGAATAGTAAAGTGTTTACTTAAAAAACGTGATATGAATTTTTTTTAAAGTTTTAAGAGAGTTCGAAAGGCCAGATTTATGAAAGCTTTTCCTTACTGAATATTATAGTTTTAATATTATGATGCTGAATGTCGAAAGCTGTCAAAGATTTTCTTTCACATTCCTATTACGTGTCTCTTATTGAATGCTAAAAACACGCACACACATACAAATAAACGCATCTGCAGTAAAATTGTTATATTTATCTTGATTAGGCCTAATGTTTGCCTTTGCTTCTTCAGCTATCAGGGTTTAATAACACAACATTAAACTTTTTGTACTTCATATAAAAGTAGCGGTTGAGATAGACTTTTGGCTGTTACAGGCCAGTCTGTTGAATAGCTCCAGTGATGAAGCAAAGGCTTCCTGAGTTGTGCTTTACAGAATTAAAAAAAATATCTGTAATGTTAATTTTGTACACATCTGGTTTAAACTCCATTGTGGACAAATTTACGGTAAGTGTGAATAAGTAGATAAATAAAAATCCGCAGCCTAACATAAATTTCATCATCAATTTTTTTATACAAATCTGCTTCTTTCATGGTGTAATTCTAAGTTGGGTATCCATGCAAGAATATAAAATTAACAAATGGTACTTATTGTTAAGACATCAAGCTTAAATTCAAATTAATTAATTCAAAATATTACAATTATAAAATAAATATGATTTGAAAAAGATAAAACAAACTATAATGATATCGAACTTTTTCTCTTCGTACTCCATGACATGCTAAAATACAAACAACATTGTTGAAAACGTTAGTTTCCAGCGCAAGTTAAAATTATTATTGGTATGGAAGTAATATAAATAGATATCGGCGCTGATTGGCTGCCTCAGGGGGAAAGGAAGGGGGATAAAGACGATGATGACGTCATATTTCCACTAAGTGGAACCCAAGGGCGCATTGCTAGGGTGCCATGACAGGTGGAAGTTGGCCAGAGGGCGCGTTACTAAGCCGCCATGACAGGCGGAAGTTAGCTGCTGCCAGAGGGTGTGTTGCTTAGCTTTAAGCTGATCACTAAAGTTTAAAGGATCTAAGTAAATAACAGGTTATTATTGCTACCTCTTTGTCGAGTGCTTGCTGACTAAAGCTAACAACATATGAGTCTTCTTTCCATTTATACCTGAAAGTCATTAACATAACCATTTTGCTACAACTAAGTTTAACAAATGAATAACTTACTGTTTAACCAATCCCCTTACTATTATAGAAATTATTTAAAATAGCTACATTTACCATTTTCTATAGAACATTCAAGTGAAGGACAAGACATACTATATAATTAAAATTCATAAAACTTAACGGCTTTAAAGTACAGTCTATACTGAACTTTCTTCTGCAACAGACGTTGAGAGTAACTAACGTCACGTACTCATCTAGATACAAAACCACTGCCATGTTCGATAAACTTTTATTGTTAGGAAATACAAAGGTCGTCACGTGGCCAGTCGTCTCTTAAATTTTGACTGGAATTTGAAAGTTTTGTAACACATATGCGCACGCTTATATATATATATATATATTACTAGTTTGTAATTATATGTACGAGTCATGACTCGTATCTATTGTATCTATTTGTTTACAAATCAGAAATTCTATTTTCGTATCTTTCAAAACCAGTTCATGCACATAATAACAAACTTATTAGATAATAAATAACAGAAATGAACTTCTTTTTCAACCCATACTTTACAACAATAGATCAAAAGCACAGACTGTGTCATTCATCTTAGTATAGGTGCCCGGCATGGCCAGGTGGATAAGGCGCTTGACTCACAATCTGAGGGTCGCGGGTTCGAATCCGCATACCACCAAACATGCTCGCCCTTTCAGCCGTGGGGGCGTTATAATGTGACGGTCAATCCCACTATTCGTTGGTAAAAGAGTAGTGGCGGTGGGTGGTGATGACTAGCTGCCTTCCCTCTAGTCTTACACTGCTAAATTAGGGACGGCTAGCGCAGATAGCCCTCGTGTAGCTTTGCGCGAAATTCAGAAACAAACAAACATCTTAGTATAATTTTTCAAAATGAAAATTTTTAATATCTACTTAAACATCAACATGTGAAATGTATGATATTTCATTATACAAGGAATGGTAACAGTCACTAGTTCGTTATTTCTAAAGTTTCCACGTCTATGTTTAATGTGAATACTTTAAGCTGTTTTATAGAGCTAGATAGTGTTACTATCACATTTAACGTAATTATATAAGTAAACAATCTGCTATTTTATTCTTACCAACTTTATAGGTTCCTCTTACAAATGTTTTACAAAGGCAAAGGGAGTTTCTATAGGCGGATAATGTTACTATGGTTCTATAAGCAGATGAGGCTACTAGATGGATTGTGTTATGAAGGTCCTTTCGATGGATGGTCTTACTAGGTATATTGTGTGTATTTTACAAAGGCGAATAGTATTTCTATAAGGAACAGGGTTACTATACTTATGTAGGACTGCATACAGATTTCAACTTGTCTCAACTTATGTTTATATTTTTCATTTATACATCTAACTGTATTACATGTTTTTTTATAGGAGGATAGTGTCACTAATTTCTAAAATGTTTTCATAAATAGTATATTAGTATATCTTGAAGTTTTTTTTTATGAAACGTGAGTTTTATATAAGAAAATCTCAGAACACTGATTTGTAACTAACCAACTGTATACTTTTTAAATGAAAAGATAATTCATATTACCATAATAGTTTCAAAATCTACGTGAGGAAATATCTGTTTTGAAATAGTCGAAGAATAATCACTTGATTTATGACTAAAGGTCCTTTTACGATTATGATCGTCAACTCTTTTTTTCGGTTATGTTCATTTGTGAAAAATATATTTGATGCTTTGGAAAACTAACAAATATAAATGTTATGTTGTACTTAAAGTGAATTTGTAAAATATACGGAAATAGAATTTCCAAGTTTGCCTGTCAGTATTGTTGAAACTAAACCATTACTTATTTCAGCCTTAGGCACACACAAGGAGCAAAACTTTCTAAGCCTGCCATCAGGCGGTATTCGTCAGTAATATATTGAAATAGCCCACACCATTTGTATATGTGTGATACCTGCCATAAAGTATCTAGAAGCGAAAACCTTAGAACTAATGAACTAGTGACTTTTACTAGAATTGATTCGATCTCTTATTTTGAAAAATAATTCTAAATCGACTGACACAGTCTGAGCTTTTGACCGATTGTTGTAAGGTATGGTTGAAAGACAAAAATTGCACTCTATTGTATATAAACTAAGTTCATTATGGTGTACATAAACTAGTTTTAAAAAATACAGAAACATAATTTCTGATTTTTCAACAAACAGATACAATTGAAAGTGTCATGACTCGTACATATAATTACAAACTAGTATATATATATATATATATATAATAGTGTCACAAAAGATTCAAATTTCACACAAGATTTAAAAGGGGACTGCCCATATGACGACCTTTGTATTTCCTAACAATCTAGGCGAGTATGTGGCAACAGTTACCTCTCAACGTCTATTGAAGAAGAAAGTTCGATTTATAAACTGTACTTTAAAACCATAAAGTTTTTTTATGAATTTTAATTGTATAATATGTTTTCTACTTCAAGTGAATGTTCTATAGGAAATGTTAAGTGTTGCAATTTTAAATATTTTCTATAATAGTAAAGTGATTGTTTAAACAGTAAGTTATTCATCTATTTTACTTAGATGTAGCAAAATGGTTAGGTTAATTGCTTTCAGGTATAAATGGAAAGAAGACCCATATGCTGTTAGCTTCAGTCAGAAGCTCTCGATAAAGAGGAAGCACTAATAACTCTCATTTAGTTAGATCCTTTAAACCTTAGTGATCAGCTTAAAGCTAAGCATGAGATTTAAATAAGCGTCTTTTTCAGGATGTTATATATTAATTATAGAAATGAAAGCATTTTACATACAAATTGTCAGGAAATGCAAAAATATGATTAGATATTGTAACGAAAATTATAATCAGTATGTTAAATCATAAAAACCCAATCGACTTTCTCGTTCAGTATTTATGAAAACGTTAAATGTTATAAAAACTTTCCAGTATTAAGTTAAATGTATTAGTAACACTATCCTCCTATAGGCACACATGTAATATATAAATGAAAACTAAAAACTTTGTATTAGACAAGTTGAAATCTGTATGCAATCCTACGGAAGTATAGTAACACCATCTGCCTTTGAAAAACACACTCAATACGCCTAATAAGACGATCTACCTATAGAGCCTCAGTAACACCATCAACCATTGTAAAACCTATGTAAGAATTATAACGTAATGGAACTATAACGTCATCGTCTCTATTGTGTGGCATTATGACATCACCGTCTGAGGCAGCCAATCAGCGTTCTTCTAGAATA